TTGAAGCTGTAGGCTGTGAGCAGTGTGTACTTCAAGGATTTTGGTTTCTTTGCCTTAGAAAAGAAAACAAAACACTAAAGGCATTGCGTAGCCAGGACAGAGTTTCAAAAGTGGCCAAAGGGGAAGTGGTTGCCTAGTGCCCACAGTGCTTGGTTTTGGTGAGATTTGGGGGCAGAGATTTGCAGGTGAGATTTGCTCTGTTTCCAGAGACTGCTTCTGAGTCTAGTTTAGGTTTCTGCCTACTAACTTTGTGCAGCGGAGCAGCGCTTTTCAATTCTGATCCAAACAAAGAATTGCAGGGGAACCGAGTGATTTATCTGGCTGGCAGCTGCCTGAGGTCTGCAGAGCAGGAATTTGGTCCAGCGACTAGAACTGACACAAGTCAAAGAACTGTGGGACAGCTGAGCCTGGAGGGCACCTCTGGAGATAGTGACTGAGATGCTGAACATTTGCTTTTATCTGCACGGGATGGATTCACGGGGGTTCCTAGACCTTTTGTAACTATTCTGTAGTTTTGTCTTACCTCATCTCTTTTCTGGATAAGCAGCTCATCATTTGGCAGGACTGTGGCCATTGTGTTAATTCTCCAGCTTTGTGGTTTACCCAGTTCTTCTGCACATTTTCTGCTAATTTAGAGCTATTTATTCCGTCCTCTTACTCCCACACCAAATCCTCCCTGGAAAACTCTGCTTTAAAGCTGATGTTTAGAGCCCCATTGTATTTCCATACTTTTGGATGGCTGTCCAAAATTAAACGTGATAGTTATTAGTCTTATGCATATTTTTGAAGAGGAAATGAGTATTTTTATTGGTTGCTCTGGAGCCTTAGCTGACTTTATTCCAGACAGAAACATTAGCGACTGCTCCAGATGTGCAGAAAGACGACACTCCCTAAATGGAGAAAATTGCTGTTGCTTTTTGGCTGATTTGCAGATGTTATTTGTGTTTGGACTGTATTTGTGTTAGGTGGGAGAGGGCTTTGTTCTTCTGAACAGAACTTTATGCAAAGATTTCTTTGCTTTCTGTGGCTCTAAATGTCTGTCAGGTAAAAAATAAACGTGAAAAGCAGCGTTGGTAGGTGGATACTTACAGGAGGAGCTGGAGTTGATGCTGACCGTGTGGGATTTAATTCCAGGAGAGCGTTGCCTGGCAGTGGGAGTAAGCATCCCCTCTGCGCTGCTGTTGCAGAGGGACATTGCCTGCAAACCTCTGTCCTGGTGGGGAGGAGTGGTGTGGTTGTGAGCTCGTTCCTCCACCTGCAGCGAGTGGTCTTCATGTTCCAGGCTCTCCGTTTCAAGCCTCAGAGGCATTTCTTGCAGTTACATTCAGAGAACAGTGTCACTTTTTTGACATTTTCAAAAATTTTTGTGATTCACTTGCATCTCTTCTTCACCGAGAGGGTGGTCACACACTGGAAGGGGCTCCCCAGGGATGTAGTCACAGCACCAAGCCTGCTGGAGTTTAAGAAGCATTTGGACTGTGCTTTTGGTCTGAATTTTTGGGTTGACCTGTGTGGTGCCAGGAGTTGGACTCGATGATCCTTGTGGGTCCCTTCCAACTCGTGATATTCTGTGATTGTAACTAGTGCTGGTGGGGCAAAAATTGAGTCAGACTCAAGCTTAAAAAGGGGTTTCGTGGCTTTCCTCTCATGTTTGAAGTGTTTCATGAGCAAGGTTCTGTCTCTCGGCCTTCCTGCATTTTCTCTGACTTCTGATATGGTTAGGTGTTGAATATTTCTGCGTCTTCTGTTTTAAGTTCCCCGAGGAGAACATGTGCAGGACATGAGTGTAAATTCCTATTTCCACATTGGAAGCCGGAAAAGCTGCGTTTAGTCTGGTTTCCTGAATTTATGCACGTGTGGCTACCAGCACCCCCGTCCTCCAAGATCCACGTGCAGAGGTTCAAGGCCTCACGAACACGACCGTTCTTGCAGGTGTCGTGAAGAGCAGCAGCCAGGCAGCAGGACAGAGCCGAACTGAGGCCAGGGAAGGAGCAGCAGGTAGCATCCAGCGGTGGGGCAGGGACAAGCTCGCTGCTGCCGCCTGGTCGGTGCCAGCTGCAGCGTGCAGGGGCACTGGGGAGACAGGGGAAACCTCTGCCTTCCAGGGGGAGGAGGAAAACACAAGCACTTGTATGAGAACAAAATTCAAGCCGACTGCTGCTTATGTAAGAAAGTGTGTGGTGATTCATCCCAAGTCCCTGGTCTGGGTGTGTTGCAACACATGACTCAGGGAGGAACTTCCTTAGCTCAAGGCCCCTGTCAGCTCCTGCAGTGCTACATAAATTTGAGTAATACTGCAGCAGTAAATGTCTGGGAGCACTAGTGGGTCTTTGCAGGACTCCTGTTTGCGTAGCTGTTTGGCTCTCTTGAGTACCTTCTAGCTCATCGGCTTTTCAAAAGCTTGTAGTTGCTCTAAGTACCTTATCTTGTATAAAGGTGAAGTATTTCACCTTCTCTTTTACCTTCTTTTTCCCTCCATCTGACACTAACCTGTGAAAGGAGCTGACTCTTCTCACGATGTCCTGGTATTTGAACTGTGGACGTGGAAGGAAAATGGCGCAGACACTTCTGAGATGTTCTTGAATCTTCTCATGCCCCTAGGAGCTAGAAATACCTGCTGTATTGTGCTAATCAGCTTTATTTGCAATTACACTTGTTTAGACTAAACAAAATGCACATAAGCTCAGTTACTGTGGGTGCGGCTTAAACCTCTTAAGAGTGCAGCATACTCTTGCTGATTTTTTCTTCTTGGATCAGGCTGCTACCTTTAATCTAGTTCTGTATCTGTATTTGCACTGTCTCATTGTTTCTTGCCTTAAACCAGCCGAGTCCTTGGTTCCGGGCCTCCTTCAGTTCATGTTATTTGAACTGTTCCTCTGGTTAGCCCCACCAGTACTAAACGCTGAGTGAGTGCAGTCATAAAAGCAAGAGATTTAAAGACATACGAAGGATTGTTATGAACAATGGAGAAACAAACTTCTTCTCTGCTCCAGGTGTTTTCTGAACACCATTTTCTTTCTTTGGCATGTTTTGACCATTTTTTTCTTGTAAATATGGAGGTTTCTTGCTATAGTCTAAACAAAGGGGTGACTCCTGAGCTGAGATTTGTGTCAAGTAGTTTGGGTCTGGTCATTTTACTGAGGCTTTAAGGTTGTGTTGCAAGATAATGTAGGTTTCAGATAAATGACCTGCAAATATTTTGCCTTCTGTGAAATAATTTTTCATGAACTAAGAATCAAAAAGAGCTTATAGTCTCGATCTGGAGTGAAGAAAACCAAGTAAAATAACTTTTTTTTTTCTTTTTTAAACTCATGATCTTTACCTCATGACTTTATCTAGGGGGTTCTAAAGTCATGTAGTTGATCCACTACCATAAAGCCATGAATTGCCTCTGTCTGTTTCCCTGAAAGGACGGGGCACGGCCCAGGCAGTGCTACCTCCCCACCTGGTTGTGAGCAAGGTGATAATAATCTGTTCGGATGTTACAGCATGGGAATCACTGCTTAGACTTCAGTTCTTGCTATAGCAGTTCAGTTGCCTGAATTGAAGACTACCTTGAAGGGTGTTTCTGGAAGTTGTCATTCCATGTTTCCAAATTAAAAATAAAATAAAGGATCTTAGATTCATTTCTTCTGTGAAAACAGCATTAAAAGTGCAGTTATTTGAGAAAGAAAAGAGATTTCAATTTTGACCTCAGCTGAGATAAATGATGCCACCAGATATATGGGCATCCCTCAGTTTCGTGAGTTGTCCTTGTCTTAGTGTGGCCTGTCCTGTAAGCAGAAGGAACATTTTGCTTGTAATGTTTTTTTTTAATTCCCCTCTTCAGACTTTGCAGTAGCCAGTTATGATTCCCTTTCTGTAGCTGTCTTCTTAGTTGCAGGAAAAGCCATGCACATCAGCGAGTGCTTTATGTGTATATATTCTGAATTAAGTTAGATGTGGTGGAATTAAGATTTGTTCTGGGTGGCTTGATACTCAATAGGTAAAAATACTCCCAGTTTCTTTGCATCTTGAGCAGAAAATTTGGATGTCTTGCTTCACCATCCGCCATAGATCTTCATGCCTTTTCCTTTTGCTGTGCCTCAGTGAGAGTATGAATGATGAACTGTCTGAAATATCCCAAGCATTTGTTTTAGTGTCCGTTTATCATACGAGCCTCCGCTGCCAAGATCACATTACTGTATACATGCTGGGAAACCAGTTTGTAGCACGAATGCCCTGAGTAAGTGTGTTGCAGTTGGCTGGTTGAGCAGCAGTAGCTCTTGCAATTGACCTAATATAGCAAAAGAAATGTTATTTTCCTAACGGCTGAAAATGAAACTTAATCTAGCTGGAGCAGAGAGCCCACGGTGGTGACAGCTGTCTTTTAGGAAGCTGAAGAGACTGCTCAAGGTTACCTATGCTAATAAATTAATCATCTTCGCTACTGTTGACCTTTGTTAGGGGAAAAAGATAAGTCTTCTAAAACCATGAAAACCTGTTTTTAATGCCGAAGTATTAAATCCTTACCTAATCATATCACTTTCACACCAGCCTTTGTTCTCCATTGCTCTTCTTCACAGTTGGATATTGTAAATTACTGTGAATTGGAGCTGTAACCCTGCTCATTTTTGTGGCTTAGGGGAAAGAAGGATGGGAAAGAATATGCAGTGAATGGCACTAAGAAGGCATGCAATAGCAGTGGCAAGAAAAAAAAAAAAAAAAAAGGAGAAGTACATTATATTAACTGTAGGAGTAGGTTTTGGTGCTCTGGACCCTTTCTATAGCAACAATTTTTAGCACTGTTCCTTTTTTTGTGGGGGGGGGGTGGTGGCCTGGAGAAATAGAGAAGGATTACCTGTCTTTAGCTCTGATTCAAAAACATCCTTCTCGTCTGACACAGGAAACAGAAAACATACTTCAAGAAAGATCAAAGGCATGTTTACAACCATAGTAACTGTTGATTTTGAGTAAGAAAAAAGTGTTAATACTGTGATTTTGTTTTCATATGTTTATAGGCAATGGCGATGACTTCAGGTTAGAAGATGCATTTGGCAAGTATTACACTCTTACAATTATTTTTTTGGGGGGAGGGGAGGGCAGGAAAATAGTGGCTGTCCCTCTGATGGTTTCTGAATATCACCGCATGACTGAGCATGACAGTGTCCCCACATACAGTTTGTTTAAACCTCAGTAGAACAATTCAGCTACATTGGGTCAAAATGGTGACCACGTAGAATTGAAATTTATTTTTGGGAACACTCAGATTCATCTTGAGAGGAAAACATATTGCTGTATAGGTTTGATCTCGTGTATAGGTTTGATCCATTGTATAGACATGGGCTTAAATTTGTCCTGTATGTATCTTCCTAATAGTGTAGGAAATTGTTTTTCAACATATTTTTCCCACCCCTCTATCTGTCTTTAGGAGTACCTTCAGAGAAACCTCTTCCGACTAAGAAGGCACCATCAGACTATGGTGAGATCCAATTGCCCTTTTACCTTTTTTTTTTTTCTTTACCTTTTACTGTGAAGTCAAGTATAACTGTATATACTAATTTGAGACTGAATTTTTCAGTTTAGTGGCCAACAAAGTTGTGATATTTCTGAAAAGGAAAGTAATTCCCTAATAGCAAAAAGAATTCTACGTTTTAGAGTCTCCTGCTAATGCTTTTACAAAGATAAATAGTTTGATATTATAAGTTTAAAGGCCTTTTGAAAATTCCTTTCATTGGCTTTCATCTGCATGTTTCAAGCTTGCTCACCTTGAACTAGCCATTGGGATATCCCATACGGTTTGGCAGCTAATGGACTCATAACTCTGTGATGCTCTTCTGTGGGCCGCTGTTGAATGAGCATGCCATTATATTCTTGGTGAAAACATTGTGGTGTGCGTTTTGTGTAAAAAATAGTCTAAAACTAGTTCAATTTTCACCTTACACTTAAAATGTCCCTTATTTCTTTGTAGATGGGTTTAGCTTGGAAGATGCTCTTCAGCCTGGTAAGTATCATGTTTTCCTGGGTACTGCTCAGTGATATTTAATGTAATGTCTATCCATCCTGTATTACCCAAATGTAATAATGGCACTGAGTTGACTGAAGTAATAGATGGCAGATGAAAATAATTGCAGTCCAGTTGTGTTTATTTCATTTTACTGGTCTGGATCACAAAGCTGCATATATTTCACACATTTCTTTAACAAGTTCTACTTGTTTCATTGCTGTGTCTTCACTAGATGGCACTAAGTCCATAAATAATTACTTATGGAAGTAGCATTTAAATCTGAATTAATCCATTTTAACTCTGTTTGTCTATAGGTGACCCCAAGCCAGGTCCGCCTGCAAAGCCTAGAGACTCTGGTAAGACTTCTAGCACAAATGCCTGAATTGTGACATGTTTTTACTATCCCAGTTAAACTTCTAATTATTCTTTTTTAATTGTTTTTGATGAATGTCAGGTGTTGGTTTGGATGAACACTAAGAAGTGAGGAAAAATTGGCTTGCAAATAAACTTTGCATCTGCCTTGACATTTTATAAGAAAACCTGTTGAGTCACTTTTCTTTCACTCAGTTGATTTAAAAAAAAAAAAAAAAAAAGTCTAGTTAAACAGGTAATGCCCAGTAGCTCTTTGGGTACCATCACTAGATCTGTTGCACTGTGGTACCTAACACAAGATTACAGTCCTAGCAGTCCTAGTAGCACTTTCTGCTGATCAGTTTGATTTAGCCCTTCAAAGTTTTCTCTCTGCTAAAGCAGCCTGTTTCCAAACCCTGACACTTGAAAACAGGTGGCTATTTGAGAAACAACTAGATGAGTGAATCAGATGGTAAGGCAAGTGAAGAGAGAGGATCTTTTATTGAATTGGAAACTGAAGTTGAGGTCTTAAAATTGTGCTCTAGAGGTGCCAGCCTTTTTGCATTGAATATGCAGAGAACCTAAGGAGACCTGATCTGACTTGTGCTAGAGCTAGGAGGAGGCAAGACCATGCTACATCGAATAGAAGCACTATACAGAAGAAACCAGCCTCTGGGTGGCGTCAGCTGTTGGTCAAAACACAGTTTTAGAAAACTACTGCTGGTGTGTTAATTTAATGTGGGTAACAAAGACTGTGACCAAACAGCACAGAAGTATTTATTAAGATCCTTTATTCTCCTGTTTTGTTGCAATCAAAGTGAAGTGTCATTGTAGGGACCATATTAATAGTTATATAATGTGGATCTTTTCATGTTTTTGTTTGTTTGTTACTTTGTTGCTGTTCTAAGTGAGATACCAATCTGGTAGTTCTAAAAGTGACAATAGCCAAGAAATGTGTACTTAGTAGAAAAATTTTTTAAAGTTCAGCATTTAAAATCAGACTTGCAAACCGAAATGCTGCATAAGACTTAGTGAATTGTACTGCATATGTTCAGGCATAACAAGGGTCTGACATATAGGCTAATGTAGCAGAAACTCTGTTAATTGCATTAACTTAAAGTACAGTCTTTAACGTAAAATAACCAAGCAAATAACAGCATTAGCTTATGAAAGGAAAAAAAAAAAATACAGGGGGATGACTGACATCATTTACGAGTCAGATAGTCCCACTGCTTTTGGTTTCTTCACACTAGTTAAGTTCAGTCACTTTATTCCAACTCTGTGTATGTGACCCCAGCCAGCTCTGCCCGCAAAAATCCTAGAAACACTGTCAAAACTGTCCTAAGAGGAATTTCTGAACAGTAGAAAAGCATTTGTTAATCTTTCTTTGTCCCTTTCAAAGTTAGTCTGCTTTTGATCTCTCAATGTGTTTTTTTTCTAAATATCTCGTTTGTGTGTAGATAACCCGAAGCCAGGTTCACCTGCTAGAGACTCTGGTAAGACTTCTGGCGCAAATGCCCAAATCATTAAATGTTTTTACTATCCCAGTTAAACTTCCACTAATTACTCTTTTTTTAATTGTTTTCAATTTATGTCAGGTGTTGTTTTGCATGAAAACTTAGAAGTAAGGAAGAATTGGCTTGCTAATAAGCTTTGCAGCTGTCTCGACATTCCATAACAAATAATGTTGAGTCACTTTTCTTTTACTTAAAAGTGGGAAGGAGGAAGGAAGGTGAGGACAGAGTGTACTCATTCGGGGCATTGTTGTTGTTAGGTGCCTGTGGTGGAGCATCTGTGTTATTAGATTGACTCCTTTCATCTTCACAAACTGAATCCGCACTAGTCTTGCTAAAGCAAGTAGGAATAACTACATGTGATTTGTATTCTTAAAGTATCTAAAACAAAGGTGAAGCAAAGTGTTGCTTTTTTAGTTATTTTTAAAGGCCCTAAGTTAAGAAATAGGTTTCTTAATTCATCTCTTAATACATATTTCTTAATTCTTACATTCAGTTAAGAAATAAATTTATTAACTCAGAGTACAGAAATACAATCCTTTCATGTTTGAAAGGTATGTTTAAAACACATGCCCTTCCCCGCCTATTGTGCTTTAGAGGTTTTCTCTGTCTTTGCCTAGCTCCAAACAAAACAAATTCATGGGCCTCAACTACGCTGATACTGTTACCCAGGAATGTGGCAATATTTCTCACCTGGAACACAAACCGTGGTTCTTGCTCCTTCCCCTGCCTGATTTACAGCAGATACTTGTATGCAGGTTTTGCACGCCTCAGTACAGTGCTTTTGCCAGCTAATAAAACATTCTCTGGTCTGATGGTTTTAGCTTTGTGGTTTGAAACATCTTTGCTTTCCATAAGCTAAAGATTCATATGACCGCAGAGGGAAGGAGGAGATCTCCAGGCTCCATGAGTTGAGGTCCAGTGAAAGTGGAAATGGACTGTTTCAGTGTCCTGCAATAAATCAGAGAAGGGAATTAAATTTGAATCTTCCCATTCTCAGGCAAATACCACAGGCACCGGACTGTGGCATAGTGAACTCTTTCCTCCTTTCCTCTAGCTACTGTGTTGTACAGGTTCAAAGGATGGGTTCTGACTTAGAAACCTAACCTTAGAAATGCACTCACACCTGCAGCCTTGAACAGAAATGTTCCTTTCCTGTCCACACCTTTCTCTGCTTTATCAGGATAGTGAGGCTTGGGCCATTCTACTAAAGTAGCCTACAGAGGTTCTTCCTTGTTTAGCAAGTAATATTTGTGCATTAATACCTGCTCTTGGACACTGGCCTCTCTTTTGTTCAGGAAGTCAGGCAGCAGTGGTGCTTCAAAACTGTATAGTGCTGAGCTGAAAAGTCTCTAGAGTGGGAGGGCTTTTGCAAGGTGAACACATAACCATGACGCTGAGCCCAGAACTGCCAAGGACTCAGTGGAATGAACTAGAGAAAACTTGCATGTCATCGTGTCTTTTCACTGAACCTAGAACACATAAGATAATATTGTTTTTACTTTTTATAGGCAGCTTTGATGATACGGATCTATACAATGGTGATTTACCAAGAGGAGGAGGTGGCGGCGGTGGTGGCGGTGGTAAGATAGTAGTTTGTGTTTTTTATTGACCCCATGGTTACATGAGCTTTTGAAGAAAGCTTATTTACAGGCTCTAATTTCTAACACCTTTGGTTTTCGTATCAGAGCTATAACAGCTTACCTTGCAGTTCAAAGGCAATGTGTTCTGTCCCTGCCAAAAAAATACCCAGATAATTAAGAGGCAAAACTGATCTAGGAACCTTCAGTAATTTTTACTGTAATATTAAGAAAGGTAAGTTTTAAAACTGAGATGCAGAGGTGTTATTTATTTCAAAATTCACCACAAATATAGTTCTTAAAGGCACCTGAGTGATTTTTTCAGATCTTATGTAAAATACTCTTAACGTTTTCTTAGTTCCTGTGGTTAAGAAGCCCAGGGGTGGGCTAGAAGGTGGTCCATCTTGTTTTTCTCAAAGATTTCACCTGCCCAACAGGATGAATTAATCCTTAGACTTTCAAGTGACGTAGAGTATATTTACACAGAGTGATACATAACTATTTAATACCTTATCAACCTTGATCTAAATAAGCTGCCATGTCTAAATGTTATGGTGCATCTCAGTACAGAGATGGTCATTGGGACCATCCTGCACTATTGGTCATCATGCCCTGTGTGCATGAGTGCACTTTCACCACTTCTAAGACAGAGTTAACACCACTGGTGGTGGGTGAGTTGATTAAACTTCACAGATGGGCTGCCCTCATTTGCAGCAGTGCTGAGCGCCCAAGGTTGAAGTTGCTATAACCATGACCTGTGCTTTGAAAACAGAAAGTTTGAATGCCAGAGAGCTGAATATTGTATGGATAAAATATTTTTTTCATCATCAAATGGCCTCTAATTTTGTATGATGAATTAAAAAAAAAAAGTGATGTAACTGTTCTTTAGACACATAATAACTAAACCTTTTGTTCATCTTTGTAGGACAAAAGGACTCAGGTCCAAATAAGGTTGAAGATGGTGAGGGTAAGTGCATTAATTTCTGTGTATGGTGTCTGTATATCTTAAGCTTGTTTTCTGGCCTTTTCTTTGTTGCTAATACATGTATTCTGCGAGAGTACTCACTACTGCCAGTGGATTTCAGCTTCAGAACTTTGTGGAATCTAGAATTCACCTTCAAGCTCTGCTTTTATAAATCTATGAAATCTCTGTTGGAAATAATTCCAAGTTTTAAAATCTCAGAGGTGCTGGTGCAGTGACTGCATGCATATACATGTAACTTATATTTGGCCATGAAAAGGGTAATTTTTTTAATTTTTATTTTTAAAATAGTGGAACTTGCAACAACCATGCTGAAGTTGCTTAACAATAGGCACTACTAAGAAATTAATAGCTATAAAATCAAAGGAACTACTTTTCATTATTCACAAAGAGAAAAAGTTGATTACTACACTTTCCTACAATTTCATGTTTATTGGTTTTTAAGCGTTCATGGAATTTACTTTGAGCCAATACAAGTTTGACATAACTTTCAATTCTGAAATAATATCTGTAAAACTCTTTTTCAGCTTCTCAGGGAGCAATAGCTGGAATTGTAAGCGCTGTCGTTGCTACTGTAATTGGAGCAGTGTCTAGTTTCATTGCTTATCAAAAGAAGAAACTTTGTTTCAAACAAAGTGGTAAGTTTTCTAAACTATTTTGTGTTGGTTTTTTTATAGACCCTTTTATAGAGTTTTGGTTTTTTTTTTCTGTTTTGTATTTTATATGGGAGGTAGAAATTGATTTTTTGCATCAGGTAGTTTTAATAGCTTGGTGAATTTGTGTTCACAGGGAGTAACATCTCTTTCTAGTCATCTATGACAGGGAGTCTGAAGAATGCCTTGCCCAAATCGTAGAATTTCAAAAGCAGACAGCCTTAGGACTCTGTATTCCTTAAAATAAAACCATCTCCTGCTAAAGAATGAGCAGGAGAGATTGCAAGAAAACATTTCGTCAAGGAAAATTGTGTGGAGATTGGGTATTACAGATTATTTTCATGCTGGAAAGTACCTTGTCATTTCTAACTTGTAAATCTTGCCTTTGTGTCTTCACAAGATGCTTACCCATACATTAGGTTTTTGACAACTACCTTGGATATTCATCCCCTTTTTTCTGCAGTGGTCTATTCATCACACAATACTTCCTTTTCACCTAAATTAGATAGATTTTAGGCAGTACTGTAGGTAATAAGTGGGACAGAAGCTTTGTTTTTGTCTTTTCTAGTCTTTTGGAATGGTTGGTGAAGGGAGAGGACAGAACAGCAACCCAAACAAGCACTGATGTTTTCGAATTCGGGAAGTTTGAAAGCTGAGCAACATAGAATCATAGAAACATCTATGATACACGTTAAAATTAATAGGATCTTAACTAGTATCAGTACCCCGTTTTCTTCAGTGCTATTTCTTCCCTCAGATTATCTCTATTCAATAGTAACTTTGAAGAGAATTTCAGTGCTAAGCATCTGTTTGTTTCCCAGCAGATGAAGAGAATGTGAATATGGATAGCCATAGGGGAGCGCAATCTGAGCCACCTGGTAAGAGAAGAATCTAGATGGAAGACCAAATTTTTGGTGGGGATCCTATTAAATACACTTTGTTGACATTTAACATTATGAAGAAAATTACTTGTGCTGTTTTTTATGTTATTTTTTCCCTCTTGTTGTTGTTTACAAAGCAAAAGTTTGTAACTACCAGTACAACTAACTTAGCACCAGGTCAAGATTTCAAGTCTGATTATATGGCCATTCTTCTCTAGTTCTTTTCTTTTTTGAAAAGATGATTGCTTTTTTTTTTTTTTTTCCTCCTTGAGGAGTCTCTGAAATATGGGAGCTGAGAGAAAGTTAAGAATTGACTTTTCTCTCTAAAAGTATTATTAAAGACACAAGACACTTACGAGAACACATGACTGCTCCTTTAGTGTTTTACATAACTACAATTAGCTGACAAGTATTTCATTAACATATGTTGCATCTGATTGGGATATGTTGCCTTGTTTTATATTAAACTCATAGAGAACTCTGCATGAATGCACATTAGGAAAGGTTAATAGCATTTGGGCAGAGAGAAAACTACACTGAAGGCAAGGAGGACTGAAGCATGTTGTTTTAACTAAAACATTCTGCTTTGAATAGAAATTATTGTATATAAGAGTTATCAAATAACAAATCTGTGTATAACAAGCTGTGACAGCTGAGGAAAAATCTCTGAAGCCAACAAAAAGCCTAACAACCTCACCCTTCCAGATATGGTTGGCATTGCCCTGAGCTGATGGAACAGATGATTAAATCTATGAAAGCCATAGATTTGAAGGAAGCAGTGTAGATGAAAACTCAGCTTTCTAGCCCTTGTGACTGGTCAGCGAAGGAACAGGCAATACAACCTCATGCCGAAGTTTGATGAGTATCTTTCAAATACTGAACTCTGAAAACTCGAATTAGTATAAATTTGCAATATTGCTTAATTTAAGCCCAGCAGAACCAGTTCTATTTTCTTATACTTTTTTTTTTTTTTAAAGGTAGTCATTTGTATGGGTTTACTGGCTAATGATCCTCTTTATGAACATTTTTCCTTTAAGCTGTTAAATATATTAAACTGTCAAGGAAAAAGCATTAGCTAGTGGCTGGCTGTTGAAGTCAGGACAGGATATAAGCAGATATCCTCAGTTCAGCCATGTGCTAGTAAGACAAGTAATATTCTTCAAAGACCAAAGGCAGTTAACATAGGGTTTGGAATCAAGATATGCAGAAACTTTGGGTGAGTTTCATCAGAACACCAGATCAGATGATGCATACTGTAACAAATGAAGTCAAGCCTGGGCTGTTACCATAAATAATTACTCCTGCCTACATTTTTATGTCAACCTGTTACATCCCAGATTTCATATTTGTATTATATTTTGTAGGCAAACGTGAGCATGTTTTGTGCCAAGGAACTAACCAATCGTGCACAGCATGGTGTGGCTGCTGATCTAAGTTTAGGGAGTCAGCAGCCATTATCTTTGCTTTTGGTAATGTAGTGTTGATGTAGCTACCTGGATTCTGGGTTGAAGCAGTCCTGTGTTAAGCCAGGCCAAATGGCAAAGGAGGACAAGTTTGTGTTTTTAAAATTTTATGTGGACTTACCTTGGACTTCCTGAAAACGTAGATAGCCTTGGTTAAGTCTGTTTCCATTAGATATGCAGACAGTACTACATCTCATTTTTACGTCTGTAAAACTGCAAATCTGAAACTTCATGTTGGATTATAGGAACTGTAAGTGTAGGTGGTAGCTACACGGATCTAGTAGGATGTGGTTACTTGAGTGAGAAATATGGGATGCAGTATCCCTTGTTATGCAGGGCACTGGCTTTACAGAGTCAAGTCTCTGCTTCCCTGCATTCATCTCAGTTTCAAATGCCTACTGAAAATGCCTGTTGTCCATATATACTGTTATATAGTATTATGCACCTTACATTGTATACTAATTTAGTGTACTAACCTTGAGTTGTTTCTGTCTTTGTAGTTCAGCGCACGCTTCTGGGGAACTAAGAGAAATCCTGATGAAGAACAGACCATTGAAACTGGATAGGGAGCCTGAAAAAAAAAAAAGGAAGCAAAAAAAAGCATAATGTAAACAGCAGAGTCTGAAGCTGCGTGAGAAAACAGTCCATGTTTGAAACATTTTAGGGAGCGTGACTTAGACCTGAGTACTTCTGTATGGCTACCCCGTGAAGCAATGTTGCACATCAATATATGGCCTTAATGACAGGAGTGGAGAGTGATGTTGTTCTTTCCTTTACTCCTGTGACAAATGGGTGTGCCTCAAGTGCATTCAGTATGTTTTACTTTTCTTTACCTTTCCAAAAACAATAAGCAATTAATGATTTGTTATGTCATATCTTTAGGCAGTGTAAATGTTTTTTTGTTTGTTTTGTTTTGTTTTTATTTTAAATCCTGTATGAAGTCAATGTACCAACCAACAAACATGGTTTATGTTGTGGGCACCTGAAAGCAAATGAAATGGCTCATTTTGTGTGGATAATGGATCTCAGTGTGGGTGCTGCTCATACAATCTGTGTAGCTGCCTTGGTCAGCCACTAAGGAAGTGATAATTGTTTTTGAGCATCCAAAAGACAAAAAATCAGAGTTTTGTTTTTGAATTTTTTTTTCCATTTCATCTGTCTGGTACAGATTCAGAACAAACAAACTAGTCCACCCAGACCCTTCATCCTTTCTGGCTCTTCTTCTTGCTTAGCAACTACTGAGCTGGTCAGATGTGGAAAAGCCTGATTGACAAACTAGAGCCATAATTGGATTTTGTACAACTTGTGAGATTGAGGTTTGGCAACTCTCTGGACAGTTGTGAATGAAGTACTGGGGAGTGGAGATTAACATCATCACGCCTGCATAAGCAAAATTTTAATAGAAAATACTTTGAATTCAGAAGGCTCCTAATACACTTAGAAGGCGAAAACAGTACTTTGATTCAGAAATAAAGAATAACAAGACTGACCAGAGCAACCCAGCCTCACTCCACAAGCATCCACTGAACATACATGTGAAGAATGCTTTTGGATTCGTGAAGGATTGCCATCGGGATGAAGGGCCATGATTACATCCTCAGTTGAAAGCACTTGTGAAGTTTGCTGTGGCTTCTGAAAGCCACAGGGAGTTTTCAAGGATCTGTGGAAACATGGAAAACTGTGCACTTCATAACAGTTAAAGGACTGAGTCTGAAATAATAACTAGTTCCGTCTGGATGGAATAGTCCAACCAGTTCTGTTGGCTTTCATTCTAAGTGGTTCCAATTTTCATGCAATTTTACTGTATGTCTTACTAATATGCTTCAGCCACCTGGCAGAGTTCTAGAGAAAGAAGATATTCCATTGAATATCTTAAAAGTCATTGTGAATTTGGATATTAAACATGCACATCTGTGCATTCAAATATGAATGTATGCCAATTATAATTCATTTAAGAATTTCTTGTACTTTTTAGCCTGCAACAAAGCTTTACACAGACTTTTGTCATGGAATTTATTTGTATACCTCTTCTTTTCCCACTTCTGCTTTTAACATGAAAGTGCTAAAACCTTTAAGTGTTTTCAAGGGTGGAAAAGTGATTTATACATAAACATTTGATCTATGTAAATAAAAGAAATTAAATGTACAGCTTATCTGCATGAATAAATATATAAATGCCAAGCGTAGAGGAAACAAAAACAAGCCAGTCTTTGTTAAGGAAAGAATGAGGGGGAAGCTCAGAGTAGCTTCGGTTAACCAGGTTCTTGAATCCTTTTCCAGTATTTGCAAGCCTAAAAAAAAAACCTTACTAAAACCCTCCTGTCCTGTGATTTTTCTAAAAATAAATTTTAAAATTAAAAAAAAAAAAGTATTTTCCTTCTTAGTTTCTCTAAAAATGCAAGTTTTGGTGCTCTACCAGAGAGCATTTTTCAAAGGGAGTTTTTCTTCCTCCTCCATCGGCAATTCAGATTTATTTCTTAAAATTTGTTTATTTTTTTATCAGATTAGAGTGAAGTTGCCCAGTAGTAACGAAGCCGTGAGTTGTTTTCACAGGGTTCTTACCAGTGTGAAGTTCAGAGATGACATTTGTGTGAAGTACAGGTGTGGCTTTTGAGCAAGAACAGCTAGATCTGGTAACACAGAATCTGATGAAAAAGAAGGCTTAGTTTGGGCAGCCTTAATGGTGTTTGTGTGGGTTCAATGTTCCTCATGCAACTATCGTCTCCACCTTTGGGAGTTGACATGGCTAGGAGGGCATTTCTGTCATTTTTCTCACTTTCTGATAGTGAGAGGACCGGAACTAAATCTGACACCAGTGTTGTGGTTGACTATCTAGGAACAAGTTTATTAATCTTTTCAGTCTAAACAGGCACATTGCTGCATGAAATTTGGGCACAGCTGTACCCCACAAAGGAGGCAAGCCCTGGGGTGGTGTTTAGGGGAAATGGCGGTTTTAACAATGATTTCAGCAGGTCTCATCTTCTCTGGCTTTGTCCATTTATGGCTTCGCGGGCTGGTGTTGTGAGACAAGGAAGACTGAGTGCTGCCACCTAGGGAGAAAAAGCTGAAGAGAAGGCTTGAAATTCGAGGCTGTTCTCTTGCTGGGAGCAGAAAGCTGCCCATTTGGGGGTTTATGTTAGTTATATGTGCATAAAGCATAGCAGTTCACTTCTCTTTCAGTTATCAGGCTATTAATTTCTACATTGCTATATGCCTCACTACCCACTAAAGTTTTTGATTTTATTAGCTCCACTGCTCTTCCATTGCATAACTAAATATCCCAGTCCATTACTTCTCACGCTCATAGGGTCAAGAAACATCAGTTAACAACTATTCCTCACCATAAGGTATTTTTATGGTCACATCCCATGCATTAGCTGCTGCCCATCGTGGCCATCTGCACAACGTGACCTTCAGATCCCAGTTTGCAAATTTATGTTCTGGTTTCCATGCGGGTCTCAATCAGCCTGAGAAGTAGGATGAAAAAATACTGTCCTTCCCAGGCCCAAACTGCAAGTTTCAATCCTGCTGAAGAATCTCCATCATTAAAAGAGGATGGCAACACAGAGCTCTCTCCTGTTCCTGTTGCACATCCTCTGGGTTCTGTTTTTTCTCCAGTCTGCCTCCTTTGGGGAGGGGAGCTGCATCATTCCTAAAGCTGTTCAAGTTACCTGCAGTAATAGTAGAAAAAAAAAAAAAAACAAAAACGAAAAACCAAAGCAGGTTCATCTGGTTCTAGGGCATCGCATCACTTTAGCTTCTATGAAGGAGCTGAAGATGCAGTTTAGTTTATCCTAACTATCAGTAAGAGGACTGCTTGAAAAAATGTTCGGATGGCTTTCATGTGTCTATTTGAGTTACTTATCTAAACTTATCCAAAAGAATTCATCAAGCTGTGGAAATGAAAACCAGCAATTCTTAATCATAAGATTTGCAGCTTTCTACTGTAGCTACTATTCATACCCATTTCAAAATCTGTGCCAAATTTTGAACGTTAAGGAAAACTCTCATGCACGCAGCTTTCGGCATACATTGGGCAGATATACACCCCCAATTGTGTATTTCAGTAGTTTTCTCACTCATTATTTTAGGTCGATAAACTGTATTATTCTGTCCTTCCCCCACCTCCTCTTCCCCCCCCCCCTTTTTTTTTTTTCTGCAGATTTCACTTGGCAAGATTCTGACATATACCATATACCATAACCTTTCCATGAACTTGAAAGATTATATTCTTTTTGCTTTTTTCTATTATGCAGATATAAAGGACAAACTTGAAAGAAAGCAAAGAGACGTTTACAAAAGGAAATGGAATTGAATGGAATAAAAATACATTTTTTTCAGAGCCCTGCATTTGGAGTACTTTAAGAACCACAAGGATGAAAAACTAAAATACATGTTTCCATACCTTCAATAATAAAACACTGAAGATTTAGTTAGGATGTAGAAATTATATCCTTCTGTTGCCAAGAAATTATATCACTTATTCACTTGCTTATTTATTTTGTGTCTAGATGCATGTCTAAAATTACTAGATGTTTCAAGACTTTAATTAAAATACTTCTATTTTTATGATGAAAAATTAATACTGTAGGATATTAGTGGCTTTCCCCAGTAGTTCCTGTTTATAATTTGGTTCCTTCATCTCTGATAGACTCATACAGCAGGACACCCATGTCAAAGGGACTGATGTCTAACCTCTGCCCACAAGAAGGATGGGGTTGCAGCTGTGGTGAGGTGTGGCTGTCCTCTTGCTCTTCTTTAGTTTGTCTCATCTAAAAGAGGCCTGATGGGCAAAAATTATGTGGCGTAGAGAATAGACAGAGACAAGCTACATTTCTCAAGCCATTTGCTATTCCTTAAATATATGAGGGCTTTTTTTTTTTTTTTTTTTTTTTTTTTTTGTGTGTGTGTGTGAAAATAAATAGAAAAATTAGGCAACTTAATCAGCCTTGGCAGGTGAATATTAGGCAGAACTTTGTTTTCCCTTTAAATAGGAAAAGATAGTTGCTCAAAGTGATAAAACTACAATCTGTGGTCGGTTAAAAAGCCCTTTATTTTTGCTTAATATGCAATATTTTTTACTTGATATCTTGGACAAGCCATAGTACATGTATTTGGCAGAGAGAGCTGAGTTTAAAAAAAGTCCTGCAGTGTGCCAGGAACAGAACTGGGATAAGTATTTGGGGCATCCTGACTACAACACTAGATCCACTCCTTCAACTCACAGTTCCTTGTCGCTTCATTGTATTGTCTTTTTTTAGCTACAGAGAGTAGTAGGTGGCTTCAGAAGAGCTAGAAATGGGCACATCATCTTCAAATTTAATAATCTTCAGTATCCAAAAAAAGGTATCCCAAAGAACTAGTATCAGCAGACAGGTGAGATGAGGTGTTTTGGAAGATCTCACTTACTAGAACGACTATTTTTAAAAAGCTCCTGAACGTCTGTGACGTGCTTGAGCTTGTCTGGAACTAGTACATAGCCTTGCTAACATTTCTGTTCCCTTCAGGCAAATTCGTCACTGATACGAAGATTAGCACCTGTGCCTGCTTTTGTTATCCTGGAAAAAAATAAACAGTAAACCTATGGGATTGCTAGTGTCTTAAACTGACCTTTGTTTTAAGTGGCTGATAAAGTCCTTTCTTTAGTCTAAATGTCCTTAATTCTTCTGAGATTGAGCGATTGGCCCTGACCAGGATAACGATACATGAATTGATATATAAATTAGAAATGGTTAAGCCACGTGATACTGGCTAGTCCCGTAGAAACCATTCTCCTTGTTTGAATTTATGGGGGAAAAAGGCACAAACCTGATTAGCCTGAACATCAAGCTTCTTGAAGATCCAATATCACTGGGTTTTATCTGTCCAATTTACGTTGTATCATCTGTTTTTTTGTAGGTAACGTAAAACCATGAAGTCAGAGCAAACTCTGTATCGTGTGTTCTAGGTAACTCCACAGAAATGCAATTGGGGCCAGCCTCTGCTCCCTATTGGATGGGATCATCCAGCAACACCAAGTGCATACAGATCTGCCATCAATGGTAGCGAAGTCCTGCGTGTATTTGCTGCCCTAGTCAAAGCAGTGCTAACAAAAATGTCTGCAGCCTACACCCCAGCAAAAGGGTGCACGCACCAGAGTCCTGGTTGGTGCTGGGTGCCAGAGGGATGGTGGCAATTCAGTTCAGCAGACAAATGAACTGGCATACATTTGCTACATAAAGACTATGACAAAACTGCATTTTAATATGTGTGATTAACTGTCATTTTAATATATGTTAATGGAAGTATACACAATTTCTTTTTCCAAAGCTTTTTGTTCTCACGGTCAGACTGTGGCGTAGCACTGTTCGAGGTCACTCTCCATGCAGGATGTGCATGGATATTTTGCATTTAAAATATATATTCAGTTCAATGGAAAAAAAAAAAAAAAAAAAAGACAGATAATATGTACCTTGTGAATAAAGCATCTACCTTGGAGCTGAGCATGCTTCAGGTCAGCAGGCTGACATCACATGTTAAGTTTATAATCTATTTCTTTCAGTTGTTGTTATGCCTCTGCAGAGGATTCCCAAGTCCCACAGAGCAGATCCTTGTGGCCTCCCCATCCCTACCTCAGCAGTTCTGGTCAGTGATTTGGGCTCTGACAGGACTTCAGCAGCAGGTCCCGCTCAGCCAAAATTCAAGCAGGGAAGCAGCGCTTTGCAGACAAAGTGTATCTGAGAGGCTGTTTGAGCCTCTCCAGAGCAGGCCTGCCTCCTCTCCCAGGTAGTTTTAGTGCCTATGGCACCACACCCCACTTGGAAGGCGAGGATGTCAAACAGGTTGGCTTTCCCTCAGGGGAGCGGGTGGAGTAAGTGCAAACTGGCTCCCTTCTCACTGGCTCCCCTGCTCTCCGCCTTCGCCGCCTGGGCGATAAATGCGTTTCTTAGAGGGCAAGTGGCACCTACAGTGCTGCTCGTGGCTTTGCCATAGTGGGGCCGTCTGCTTTTGTTACCTGTCCTGCACCAGACTTGTTTTTTAGGGACGTCTCTCTGTTCTGCAGTGCTTGAGTGGGATGGTGAGGGACCTTGCTGGACAGAGCCCCTGATTAAAAGCGTCCCCTCAAAGCTTTGCACTGCCAACATCTATCGGTATCACCTGGAAAAAGTAATCGGTGCAATCAGAGCACTACATAGAAGACCATGGGGAAATTCAGAAGAATCCTTCTCTTGTGCCTTGGCTTTCTTCTAGTCCATGTAAGAGGTAAGTGACCTTTGCCTTGACTTATTTCTAGGGTGTGGTTATTAAAAATGAAAAACAAAACAGCAACAGAAAGCTAAACCCCAGCCCCTGAACAACTACACTTGTTTATTTAGAAAGAATCACTAGGGTTGTTGCTTCTGTTTCATGAAAAGCGTTCAAGAATTTTTAGGTAAGTACTTCTGCAGTTTCTACGGAGATCGTTTTTGATGATCTATGATCATGCTGATCGGAGTTTGTTTACTATCATTTCTTATTCTCTATAGGGTTGTTCTAAAATTATCCATAAGCTTGAACTGGAGTGTATGTTTTTTCTAATGGAAGCTGTAAAATGTTTCCCAAAAGGTCCATAGCCAAAAGCTTACTTCATGTTTTTAGAGCTTTCCTTGGTTGTTGATATTTTGGAATACATTGGGTATACTGTAAAAACAAATGCTGCTGCAGTTTAAGGTGTTCAGGCTTTAATACTGCTGTAGTTTTATTAACCTTAGCCAACATATTCTTGAATATATAAAATCCAGACAAAAGCATGCATATTTCTTTATATGCAGGACTAATGCAGAACTAAATACATTTTGTACATATATTTTGAAGAATGAATAGCAGTTGGGGAAAATGTAATCCTTTTGAACTGAGTGTTTGTTTTGAATTCTAAAGTAATTTTCTTTTAGCAAAACGTTCTGTAAAAATTCGTTTTGATCTCAAAAAAAATAGGATTGTCCTTGTGTGCATCTGCCATGCAGTGTACTAGTAACAGTTCCTTTGTCATATATGACTACTACTGCAGATACTTTTAGAACAGCGTTTGACTGCAGGAAGAAGCCAATCATTGACCACTAGTTATAAAATCGCTGCTGCTGCTCTTCCTCCTACCAGCCTGGTTTTAAACGGAGTCCCTGGGAGATCTTACAATGATGAGCAGTGGGAAAAAACTTGCCTTTAATTAGAAATGGTTCCTGCAAATGTCCCTGAAAACACAGTGAATACTTTGATGATAAAATTCAGTGGTTGTTTCCACAGACTTAATATATATATATATATATATATATATATATATATATATTTTTTTTTTTTTCTAAATGAGGAATTACTTGGAGGTTTTCTGCAAGTAATGTGTCACAGAAACATCAGAGCAGCAGGACAGTGGTGGCCTGCCCCACAGTGTGTTGTGAACAGCAATGATTCACACTGTCTCTCATTACTGGCATGCAGTCTTTCTTGTTCTGGAGAGGTCTCATGCTGAATATTTCTGCTTAAATAATCTGAGCATGTGCAAGTCAATTTCCATATACTGCGTCATGTTAATTACAAGGACAGTCAGGCTAACCGTTCTTACTTTACACATGTGCTAATTTAGAGACAGTTGAGGTCCTGCTTTGGGGAAGAAGCCATTGCTACAAGCTGCTGAGGGCTTTGGGCACAGTATCAAGCATGTGGAAACTATGTCATCCACTTTTGAAAAGCAAAATGAATTATTTTAATTCTATTGCTACAGCCACTGAGTTTTATCATCAAAGTTTTTACCATGTTCCACTGGACATTTACACAAACCACCTCTCAGTCCTAGTCAAGACATTACATGAGGAAAAGCTTGGGCATGCTAGTGAAAAGCTGGTCTACATCCTTATGGTAGGAAAGTCTATGGTATGATTCACACAAATGGGTGCATATACGTGCAGCCTTCACTCTGATCTAAGCTGTAAACCATCTGTGAGAGCCCCTAGAAACTGCCATGCCACTATGGCCAGGCCAGATCATATCACTCCCCTTATGATCCAGAGTTTCCTTTTTGTCAGACTGTATTCAGGTAGTTGGCTGGACTGGCTTGATGCAGAAACATGGCATAACCAGGGACCAGAGTGCTTAAGAAAAGTGAGACCTGATATAGTTTAGAAACTTGCATGCTTACTACAATCTTCTTCAACGCTTTTACACAAGCTCTTTTGTCTTTTGTTATTTTCAAGCTTAGGCAGGTTACATGAGTTCTCCCACAAAAGCTGAGCTGCAACAGCTAATTGCCTGAGTTGCTTTTAGCCCAACCCAAATGAAAGAAACTTCACAGAAACATCTTTCACTGAAGTTCACGCTGATGTCACAGGTCAGTTACTATGGCTCAGCTGGCCTGTGGTAATTCAGCTTCAGCTGTGTTTACACATCCCACTTAGGGCACAGAAAGACACAGCTTAGGACCTAGTCCCCCGGTAACTGAGACGGTGGACTTCTTTGAGATATACTGAAGGTCCCATTTGGGCAATACACTTCAGTTTTCACTGTGTGTGTACATGTCAGGGAGAGGCAGTCCAAACTGAAGTCTCCCTCCTGTATGAAGCTGAGACTCTTGCTCAGACCTGACTGCTCTGAAATGCTCCTTGGGTTCCTAGTATAGGTACAATCCATGTATCCATGTTCTGTAAGACCAACTGATAGGCCACATCATTAGTAATAAAGACAGCACAAAGGCTGATGATGTTTAAGACAAGTTAAGTTTGCTCCATTGGATATTGTGTGCTATGTAGGTAAAGGGAACAGCAATTATTGCTAGCCAGTAAACAATGTACCACTCTCCAGCTAAGGTTTACTAAGGTTTTTGAATCAAAACTAATTGTGATAATTATACAAGCGCTTTGCAGGGAGAAAATTACAGACCTGTTTGGATTTCAGATACTATATGACTTAGTTTTATGAATAATGTAGTTTTCACTGGAGTTAAAAGAAAGAATGGGAGAGATGCAAAACGCAGTCCTATTTATCTTCTTCTGCTCCATCAAGCTCCTGTTCTGACCATCACTGCGTGAGGTCCCTGCGTACGTGCTGAGGTGCTCATGGCATCACGGGGATATACCAGACAATGAATTCCCTTGTTGCTGAGTACCAAAACTATTTCACTCCCAATAGCAGAGCTTCTATCCTCTGTAGGCATGTCAGCGCTGCCATCCCAGGGTGTGACTGCAGTTTGATAGATAGCATACCTGAAGTGTTTGAAATACTAATATCAGCAGAGCTGTCACAATGCCAACGCTCAGGAAGAGCTAACAATCACTGTGTTTACTCAGCTTCTCTGGTTCACTTTTCAAACACTGCTGCCACTTTGCAGGCCTGATAGAAGTGCCCAAACTGCCTGTTTTCAGGCTGTAGTTTTCCCTCATTTGCAACAACAACTGCCAATGCTCATCCCACTGAGAGCAATAAATTAATAAATGTCATAATTCTTTCAGGATCAAAAATCAGTAAAATTGCGCCTCCGGATTGTTTTGATCTTTGCTTTTAACTTTAGAATCTTCCTTCTTTTCCACGTGGGGGCTAAGATCCATGTTTGTTAAAGGAAAATACTATCTAAAATCTGCTCTGTAATACAATGTCTCATGAAGCCAGGTAGGCCATCCTAGTTGAAATAAATAACTTGAATGAGCTGTGAAAATATAATGATCCAACATCTGCTGTGTATGCTTTGTTTGACATCAATGGATTTTGGAATTCCTGAGGAATCTATTAAAAAATATGGAGCAACGATGCTCCAGATTAAATGAAAACAACAGCCAGAGTGTGCACTAAGATTAGCAGACAAAATAAAGCGAAGTCCCTTCTTGTGTCCGAGGCCTTACAGCAGTGGAGGAGCCAGGCATACACTCCTCACACAGCCCTGAGTTAGCAGCCACAACCCGCCCCCCAGCTCCTCAGATCACAATCTATGTTGGAGCAAAACTGTGACTGCTCCTTGCAGGTTGGCATCTGCAAGAGGCAGAAATTGAGATACGAGTCAGATATTTCCATTCCCAAAGATTGTACAGACCAGCTCATTCCTTGAGCATGGTGATACCAAAGAGAAGGCTGGCCCTTCTCTTACAGATCCAGCCCAGGTTTGCAGAGTGTTCTGCATGCCGGGAGTCTTGGCCTCTATTCCCTCTGAAGGGATCTTCCTTGCCAGATCCTCTCCCAATTCCCCTGCTTTTGAAGTTCAGATGCCAACTAATGCCCCATCGCTGTTTGCCCAGGGTCATTCACAGAGGCTTCTCTGTGCATTCCAGTGGTCTCTTCACATCTGTGAAGGGATTTTAATTGTTTCTCTCATGTAGTCCAAATGAGAGGAAGGGTGGCTCTTGAGACTCAGCAGACACTTTGTTGCTGGACAGACCTGCTTGCTGACCTCCAGCAACTCTTTTCAGCCCTGTTGTTTCAAAGAAAACACATTGTTAATGGCATGAAATAGAGAGGTTGTAGGCCTAATTTCTTTGCTGTCTTGCATCTTGAAAGCGCAACCAGAGAATGTGTATGAGACACCCAGGCCACCCACTTCGACTTGGCGGTGTTAGTAACCCCCTGGGACCCATATGCAGATGGTGTACTGTGACTTCAGGAACACAGGATTAGCTACACAATAGAATTTTTTTATTAAAAAAAAAAAAAAAAGTAATTTCGTTTGTTGTTGGTTATGGAACAACACTACCAAGATTTGTGCCGCCCATCCGGCCTGATGAAGATCTAAAGGTAGTACATGAACTCTAGTACTGCCCTGGTGGTAGAGGTGGGATGAGAAGGCACTTTGCAAGCAACAGAAGAAACAAATCCTGGCGTCTCCCTGACTTCCTGCATTATCTTCAGCACCCCGTGTTGTCTCTAAACTACCACTGAGGGAGAGTGAGGATTAGCCAGGGGGTGCTCAGGCAGTGCCTTGTCACCCTGAGAGCCAAACACAGCAGTTGCTTGTGCCACACCACAGCATTTCAGTAGGAACACTCATACAGGCCTCTCTCTGCGACCACCTCCTTGAGTAGCTCTCATGTAACGTGACTGTGGTTAACACTCGAAACAAATGGCTGAAATGGGCTGGCAGCTTCAAGAACCATGCATGTACAGCAAGATGCTTTGGCTGAACAGCCCGTGCCATGACATAGGCTCCACTTCCCTGTGACACAAGGCTGAAGATCTCAGTTTCCATGTTCTGCTTCCATAAGATGCAGAGGCATATGGTGCTGCTTCATTAGAGATACCAAATCCTTTGCTCT